TATGCATGTGCACACATACAAACATACATTTATACTCAACACACATACATAGATACTGAAATGTGACCATTGACCAGTCACAGCTTCTTGGTTGTAGGTAAACGGATCACCAAGATGAACAAATGTTAATTTTCAGTTATGCAACTCAGGTTCCACAACTGTTTATACAAAAGGCAACATGACGTCCATTGTGGTTCTTGAAGATATGTCACCTGAATGTTTTCTTTAGTACTTACTGAAGGGATATTCAGGCTTCTTAACCTTAACCTCAGTCAGTCAGTGCAGAAGACACCATTTGAATGGCAGGTGAACTGTCATCAAGAACCATGAGGAGACATCCACCTGCCTCATTTCTAGATACTCTGGCAAAATAAAACTTAGAAGTTACCTTGCTCTAACTTTGATCTGTATCTCTTAGAATTCCCCCCCAAAACAAAGAATTCCAACAAAATCTCAACTTTGTGTTCGAAATGGAAAAAAGTTTGATTTCCACTCTGTATTTTTCTTTACTTTGTTTCAGAAAGGACATGATGAAGAATGAAGTTTCCTTTAAAAAGGCTTTTTCTGAGACACATTTTGCCTTTGATGTTGTCTCCCTAAAGTTTGTTGTTTGTTACGTAGAATAAATTAACGTGCATCAAAAGGACTTTATTGATTTTTTTTTTTCAATGATGGTCATAACAGTAGAGCTTAGTGCTCAAACAGATTCAGATAAAAATGATGATATAATAATAGAAATAATAATGTTTTTTTAAAATAAACTGATAACAAAAATATCACACTAATTCATTTAAACATACAGACAAAAATCAGGGCTGTATTTCCAAATAGATAAATTATGAAGGTAAAAAATGTAGGTCATTTTAACAACTCAACAAAAATGACTTCGACAGACCATTATGAGACAAGCAGCTGATGATAATGATAAGAACAGCTGTGAGAATGCCAAAAGCTGAATGGAGAAAGCAGAATAGTGGAAGAATATAGGCTGAACAGAGGAATCATTTGAAAGAGCTGAG